CAGACAGAGACAGAGAGACAGAAAGCGAGAAATCACCCCCCAGAGGGGATGGTCACACCGCAATCCCTTCTCCATTCTCTTCTCAGGATCTTGTGCATGCACGCACACGCGCCAGGTGTGAGTTCTAAGTCACCAGGTCCGGGACACGAACCACGGTTGACTACGTGGGAGTCCAGCGACATAGCCATTACGCTAACTGCTGGCTCCCTGTTGATATATTCTTAGGAGTGCTTTTTATTTTAGTTGTTTTTAACTAGATGAGAACTATACCATGCTGTATATAACTTTGAGGGACTTGTTTTCTCAATACTCCATTGGTAAGATTTATTTATTTTGATTGCCACTTAATATTCCATGGTGTGACTGTCATGCTATGTATATATCCACTCTCTTACTAGTGAGCACTTGGGGTGTGTCACAGTTTTTACTATTGCAAGTGGAACTGCTCTGATTTTGTGCAGATTTCTCTTAGACATAAACATCAGAGAATTGGTGGATCACAGAAAATATGAATGTCCGAATTCTTTTGTTTGTTTGTTTGTTTAAGTCTTTGCCATAGGGCATGTGCACTCACCAGAGAGAGAGACAGAGAGGAAAACTGAGGAAGGGCCATGCTGCAATCCCTTCTCCTTCTTTCTCCTTTTGGTATTTTGGGCAGGGACACATGTGCGCATGGCATGGTTTTACAGCTGCTAAGTCTGGGACTCAAACTGAAGTTGGCCATGTGAGAATCCAGAGCCTTATCCACCACTCCACCTACTGGCCCCCAAGATTTGCTTTTCTTTTTTTCTCTTTTTAGAGAGAGAGTTTTGCTATAGGGTGCGTGCACTTGCTGGAGAGGCAGACACACACGTAACAGGTGTGATTTTCAAGTCACTGAATCTAGCACTTGAGCTGTGGTCGGCCATGTGGGGATCCAGAGCCTTAACCACCATGCCACCTGCTGGCCCCCTGAATGTTCCATTTTAGAAGATGGTTTTTCAAAGTGGCTGTACAAATTTACTACATGATTTTGTTTTCATCACCCAACTTAACCAATCATATTTGGCCTGTGTGAAATTGCAGTCAGATGGCTATGTGGTGCTGGGCTTCAAGGTACTATAGAACTGAAGCAGTCAATCTCTGGATAAGCAATATATGTGAATATTTGGGGCTGGCAGGTGGCATGGTAGTTAAGGGCACTGGACTCCCACATGGCTGACCATGGTTCGAATCCCAGACCTGGGAGCGTGCTTTCTCATCCCCCACCCCCTTGTTCTGTCCCTCTCTGGTTAAATTAAAATAAATAAAGTTAAATAAAATCATTCTTCAAAAATATATAAATATGATGGGCTAATTATTTTGTGGAACATCTCTCAGTCTGAATATGTCTTCCTTGTGATCAGATTCAGGTTATGTACGTTAGTCAGAAATATGAATGACAAGCTATTGAATACTTCTCAGTATTTTCTATCAGGCAGTCCACGGTGTCAGTTTGTCCCATGGTGGGTAACCTTAGCTTTCATTATTTGGTGAAGGTGACATCTATAAGGCTTTCTCCTCTGTGAGATGACTGTTTTTCCCTTAGCAACTGATAAAATAGTAGCTCTAGTAGTCTCTATGAGTTTTTGTTCCTTATGAATTAGTCATTTCTGTATTACTTAGCTAAAGCCCCTATTCAAACCGGTTTAAGAGGGAGGGGAATTCATGGTTACATCTAACCAAAGACGCCATTCAGATTGGCCTAAGTGGGAGGGAATCTCAAAGTCTCAGAGTAGCTCTGACTTCAGGTTCAGCTGGATCTAGGGGCTTGGTGTAATCAGGAATTTTTCATGTTCATCAATGTCTGTGTAGATTAGGGGGATTAGATACTGGCCAGGCAGAAGCAATAGACATCTGTTAACACCAATTCAGAGGTGGTGCAAAGAGAAGAAAGTAGGAAGTGCTTAAAAAGACCCGACCATAGCCCCAGATTACTTTGGAGAGCCTCACCCCAGTGGTTCATAGGGCTGGGACCCCACTATCAGTGGAGTAATATGCTACATTTCCTGGCCACAATGATTGGTTCAAAGATGGTCACAACACCCAGGCCAGGCTGATGAAAGACAGTCCAGAACTTTCCAGAACTATCAGCAAAAGAGCCGTTTTGATTGCCAAGCTTGAGGATACCTACCTAGAACTGTAGGTGATCAGCTTTGTCTCCCAAGCAGTCTATATGAGAATGAAGCCAACATAGAAAAAAGCAGAGCCAAAGAGACCCAGAGAGGTAGAATCCTCCTGGCTTTACTTCAGTACTGGATCCAACAATGCCTGAAGCCCACTACCCCTGGAATTGTCAACCACAAAAATATTTTATTTTTTTCTGCTTAATAAGCCAAGGTGGAAATGGAATATTGTAAGTGTCTTCTTTAAAAAAACAAAACACATAATTATAAAAGTCTGCTTTTACGGGCCGGCAGGTGGCATGGTGGTTAAGGGCACTGGATTCCCATGTGGTCAACCACAGTTCGAGGACTGGACCTGGCATCTTGCTCTCTCACTTTCTCTCTGTCTCTCTCTCTTGTCTCTCCCTGGTCAAATTAAAATGAGTAAATAAATAAATAAATAAATAATTCTTTAGGGGTCAGCTCGTGGCCTAGTGGTTAAAGAAGCCAGATCCCAGGACCAGCAGTTAGCATAATGGCTATGTCGCTGGACTCCCGTGTAGTCGACCACGGTTCGCGTCCCAGACCCGGTGGCTTAAAACTCACGCCAGGCGCATGTGTGTGCATGCCCAAGATCCTGAGAGGAGAATGGAGGAGAAGGGATTGCGGTGTGGCCATCCCCCATAGGGGCTGATTTCTTGCTTTCTGTCTCTCTGTCTCTCTCTGTCTGACTGGCGAGCGCACGCGCCCTATAGCAAAAAAAACTCTCAAAAAAAAAGAAGCCAGATCCCATACAGCCAAACCCAGTCATATCCCAATCCTGGTGGCTTGAAAAGCATGCCAGGCATGTGTGCATATGTGCCCCAAATTCCAGCAGGACAGAAAAATGGAGGTGAAGGAATTATGGGTGACCATGTCCCATTGGGTGGTGCTTTCTCTCTCTCTCTCTCTCTTTCTCTCTCTCTGATGAGTGCACACACCCTCTGACAATTAAAAAAAAAAGAAAAGGTTCAGTGGATACAGTAGTGGTCATGGTGCTGGATTCCCATGTGGTCAATCACAATTCAAGTCCTGGACCTGGCAGCTTGAAACTCATGTTGGATGCATTTGTGTGTGTCCATAGTCCCAAGAGGAGAATGGAGAAGGGATTGCAGCATGGCCATCCCCTCTGGGAGGCAGGGTGATTTCTCACTTGCTGGCTCTCCATCTCTCTCTCTCTCTCAGATAAGCACACACACCGTATAGTAAAACATCTCTCAAAGAAAAAAAAAGAAAAGAAAAAGAAGAAAGAAAATTATTTTAGGAATGAAAAAAATTATTTAATTAAAAAGAAATTATTTTAGGACTAGAAGAGGCTGCAATGGTTACATTGCTGAACTCCCATGTAGTCACTGTGGTTCAAGTACCAGACCTGGCAGCTTTAAATTCATGCCAGGCGCATAGGCATGCATGCCCAACATCCCAAGAGAAGCATGGAGGAGAAGTGATTGTGGCATGGCCATCCTCTCTGGGGGGGGGGTGATTTCTCACTTTCTCTCTGTCTCTTTGGCAAGCACATGCGCCCTATAGCAAAAATCTCTCTTAAAAAAATGAAATTATTTGGATCCTTGGGTATTTATGTATTCCAGTGCTGTGCTGTAATAGCTTATCTTAGTCTGCTCTGATAAAAAATGATATATTGACAGCCACTTCAACTAAACAGTTTTGATAATATGATCAATCACATAGCAGTGGAGATCTAAAGGAAGATCACACTTTACTCTGTTCTCCATGGAAACAGGCAGCTTTCTCAGTTATCTTTCTTGCTATTCAATGTGAAGAATAAGAATTCTCTTACCTGGTTGCTTTATGACGGAGTCTGTTTTTTAAATCATCTTTATTGAGATATAACTTATGTACAATAAAAGGCATTCGTCTTAAGGCTACAGTTCCACGAGTTCTGACAGATCTATGCACTTGTGTAGCCAACTCTGCAATCATGATATAGAATAGTTCCATCACCCCAACAAGCGCCCTCAGACCTTTTCACAATCTTCCCCTCAAGCCCGGGGCAACCACTGATGCCGTCTAGCATCATAGATTAGTCTCACCTGTCCTAGAATTTGCACAAATGAAATTACACAATATATATCCTTTTGTGTCTAGCTTCTTTCAAGAGTCTATTTGATTAAAAAAAAAAGAGTCTATTTGATTTCCTATATCATCTATTTATGTTCATAGGTGGGTCATGGTTTATACATCATGTTCTACGTAACTGTGGAAAACAGTAGTAAAAAAGAAGAGAAGAAAAAAAGTAGGGCATGACAATGGTTCATCAATCCCCCCTTATTAGCTATTTCAGACGTAATTAAACTCAAAATGAACTGAATTTTTACTATGCCCTTTCCTACTTCGGAACCTTTTACTTCATAAAAGACGCTCAGGATAGCTTTGCATTTTTGAGATGTCATTTACAATTCACTCTGCCCCTTTGGAGAAGTTTCCTTTCTTTTTTTCTTTTCATTTCTTTTTTTTTTTTTTTTTTTTAGAGGTTTTTGTTACAGGGCGCATGCGCTCGCCAGAAAGACAGAAAGAGAGAAATCACCCCCCAGGGAGGGATGGCCACACTGCAATCCCTTCTCCTCCATTCTCCTCTTGGGATCCTGGGCATGCACATACATGTACCCGGCGTGAGTTTAAGTCACCGGGTCCAGGACTTGAACCACAGTCAACTACATGGGCGTTCAGCCTCATAGCCATTACACTAACTGCTGGTCCTGGAGAAGTTTTGTTTCTAAAGGCAACCCCAGAAGGAGTCTGTTTCTACTTCGGCACCCTGTTGAATCACCTTCTGTCACTTACACACATCCCTCCATAGTCCCTCCTGAAAGTCCAGTCCCTTTGTGTGTTACAGAGCTCCTTAAGTGAGTTCCGCCCAGGCGACAATGAGAAGAGTCATTGGAGGAGAATGTCCCGTAAGTGCAGGAAAAGGGCGTTGAGAAAGTTCTCACACCAGATGCCCCCTCAGCTCAAAGGGCAGAGAATCAGATTCCACGGTGTCCACGTCTCCTGCCACCTGATCATAGATTCCTCTGGAATCCTCATACTTGTTCTCAGGCCAGTAGAGGTCATAGGGGCTCTGACAGGCAAACAATGGAATTAGAACCATAGAGTGATGGCTTGTGGGTCATCATTGCAGCTCTAGGGAAAACACACCCCTGCTCAACTTCTCAGGGAAAAATTAACTTTGAATTATGGAAAATATTCAACATATACAAGAAGAGAGTGATGGTGAATTCCCATCATGAATCCCATGTCCCCATCACCTAACTCCAATAATAGCAACCCTTAGTCAATCTTTATTTATATCTCTATCTTCTCCTACCTTGCCCCCACAAACTGGATTATTTTGAAGCAAGTCCAAGATAGCCCATGATTTGATGTCAGAAAAGTTATTTGAATGTCAGAAATATAACATCTTTTTTTTTTTTAGAGGCTTTTGCTATAGGGCGCATGCACTTGCCAGAAAGACAGAGAGACAGAAAGCGAGAAATCACCACCCAGGGGGGATGGCCACGCCACAATCCCTTCATCCTCCATTCTTCTCTTGGGATCTTGGGCACGCATGCACATGCACCTGGCATGAGTTTAAGCCACCAGGGCCAGGACTCAAACCATGGTCGACCACATGGGAGTCCAGTGACATAGCCATTATGCTAACTGCTGGTCCCAGAAATATAACATCTTTAAGCGATGTCAAACATGATTTGGGAATGTGAGCTGTGATTTTGGTAGTCCTTTGGGTTTCCCAAACATTTTCCCATCAAAAGAGAAGGGGGTGGGGAAGACCATGAAGGGCGATTCTTACTGGGGCTGTGTTTTGTCCTACCGTTAGGAGAAAATGGTTGTTCTCACTTGGCAAACTTCAGAGCAGATTGGCCCAGAAGCCAAATATGGCTGCCACCTGTTTTTGTACTGCCTAAGAGCTAAGACTGGCTCTATATTTTTAAATTGCTGGGGGAAAAATCAAAAGAAGAAGAATATTGGTGACATACAAAACTGGTATGAAATTCAAATTTCAGCGTCTAAAAATGAAGTTCTATCGGAACATTGCCGCACTCATTTATGCATTGTCTGTGGCTGCTTTTACCCTACAATGGCAGAGTTGAGCAGCTTTGACGAACACTGTACGCCCCACAAAGCCCAACATGTTTACTCTCTGGCCCTTAATACAGAAAGTCTGTGGATTCCATCTGTGCTGTAGACGACACACTTGGTCCAGCACCATGGACAGCGTTTCGTGCGCGTTCGCATAGTGGCTAGAAGCTGCAGTCTGAGAACAGTGCCCCATATGAGATGGTGATATGGAGGGAAACCCTTGGCCCAGAGATGCCAGAGCATTAGCCAGAGCCGCACAGAAAGTTGGGGGCTCTGTCCCACCTCCCTTCCTGCCTGGCAGTGGGTAGCGGGTTGATGAGTGGTCCAATGTCTGCCTGTAGTTTTTGCCTGCTCAGGCCCTGTCTTCACTCCCTCTGGGCTCCCCGTTCCTCTGCCAGTCTCAGGGTTTCTGGCCGGCCCTACTCCCTGATCCTATGGGTGGGCATTGATCCAGGCCTGCGCAGTTAGCATATTCTATCCTGGGGCTCAGCGATTGGTTCAGCAATACGTATGTAACCTAAGCTAGACCAATAAGTGTCAGCCTTGGGCATTTGGAATTACTGAAAAGAGGCATTTTTCTTCTTAGAAAATTTCTAATTTGATAAGATACAGGCCTAGCCTCTGTGACATAGCCAATAGTATGCAGGACTCTGGAGCTGGAAGCCACAAACCCACTGCAGTTTGAGTCACCAACCCGGTTGGCCTGAAAACATGCCATGTCTACATACGCCCAGGACCTCGTTAGTCTGGAGGATTGGAGGAAGGGGACTGTGGCATGACTGAGCCCTATGAAGGGTGCCTGTCTTTCTTTCTGTGTCTCTCTGTTGTGTGCATACACATACATGCATATATACACTGTTTATGAAATTTTTCTTGGAGCGGTTTTTTTTTGCTATAGGGCACCTGTGCTCATCAGAAAGACAGAGAGAGACAGAGAGACAGAAAGCAAGAAATCACCCCCCAAGAAAGATGGCTACACCGTAATCCCTCCTCCTGCATTCTCCTCTTGGGATCTTGGATGTGCATGCACTCGCGCCTAGCATGAGTTCAAGCCACCAGTCCAGGACTCAAACCGCGGTCTACTACGTGGGAGTCCAGTGACATAGCCATTATACCATCTGCTGGTCCCATACACTGTATATGAATTTTTAAAAAAGAGGGGTCACAGCTAGTGAAGTGGTGGTTAAAGCAGCTGGATCACACATGACTGACTTCACAGTTTGAGTCCCAGACCTAAAGGCTTAAGAAACATACCAGGTGGGGGCCAGCAGGTGGAGTGGTGGTTAAGGTGCTGGACACTCCCACATGGCTGACCACAGTTCAAGTCCTGGACCTGGTGGCTTGCTTTTCTCACTTTCTCTCTCTCTCTCTCCCTCCCTCCTTCCCTCTGGTAAAATTAAAACATAAATGAGTGAATAAATAAAAAATAAAACAAAATAATTCCTTTTTTTAAAAAAAAGGAAAAAAGAAACATGTCAGGCACATGTGCATGCATGCCTAAAATTCTGAGAGGAGAAACGGAAGAGAAGGGATTGCCTGTGGCCATCGCCTGGGAGGTGCTTTCTCAACTTCTCTCTCTTTTTCTCTGGTAAGCACATATGCCCTATAGAAAAATTTAAAACAAGAAAAAAAGAATTCATGGCCCAGCTGGTGGTATAGTCAGTAGCAAACTAAACTGTGGTGCTGGAAGTCACATGGCTGCTTGCAGGTTCAGATCTCCAGGCTGGCTTGAGACCACACGGGGTACACACATGCACATGCCCAAAACCCTGAAGATCTGGAGGGCTGGGGAACGGGGATCACAGGGTAACAAGATGCTGTTGAGGGTGCTTCTCCCTCCCTCTTTCTCTCATGCACATGTGCTGACTATTATAAATAAAATAAATACACTTAACAAGAAAAGATACAACCCTGTATTTGCAAGAGACATCTTTAGGGAGGAAATTCTAGGTCCACCTGGGCCTGAAATAATTCTATCTAAACTGATTTTTTGTTGTTCTTTGTAAGCCAGAGGATGCATATACTCACCAGAGAGAGAGAAAGAAAGGAGAGGGAGAAAGCATCCCCCCCCACACACACATCATGGGGTGTGGTTGTGCAGCAAGCCCATTTCTCACTTTGGGATTTGGGGCATGCATGCACGCGTGCCCAGCATGTCCTTCAAGCTGCCAGGTCTGGACCTTGAACTGCACGGTCTGCCATGTGGCATCTGGCTCCCTGAACCACCAGGCCACAGACGGGCCCTCCACTGACTTTTCAATGGAGTAGGCCAAACAAATGTTTTCCTCCCTGCTTAACCACTCTTCCACAGAATTGTAGCAAGGCATGTAGCTGGCAGGCCAGACTACATTCACAGCCTCCTTGGCAGTAAGTGTGGCCGTGTGCCATGTTCTCACCAGTGAAACGAACACAGAAAGGATGTGTGCCATTTCTGGGCCTAGGTGTAAGCAGGGCCGTGCCTCCACCACACTCATTTTCCCTTCCCGACCTGCCAAAACCCTCAGTGAGCTGACCTGTCCACGCAGACTTGGACCAGGTGCTCGGAGATGGCAGAGGAGCATGATGGAGACAACCTGGGCTCCGGAATAATCACGTACAGCAAGGCACCCACCTCTGACTGCTGTATGAGACGGGGATAGACTGTCTTCCCTAGGCCGCTGGCTTCCGGCCAGGCCTCTTTGTCACAACAGCTAGCTCACTCTAATACGAACAGTAGTAGACGGAGTTCCAGCCCTAGCCAGGGAAGACTCCTGCTGATACAAATATGCTCACCATCTGTACTTCATCGTAGAGGGGTCCCCAAGTCCCAGAGGGGGCGTATGTTCTTTCCACCTCGTCATACAGGTGCCTGGGGAAGGCCATATCTTCATCAGCAAGACCTGCGAAACCTGGAGCTGGAGTAGAAGAAAGGGTGGTCAGGGCACCCCGTCCAGATGTCAGGGGTAGCCCTGAGTGGGGGAGTCCTGACGTCATCATGACTCACCTTGGGAATAAGGTACCTCTTCCAGCGTCGGGGGCAACCGGGGGCTGAAGTCCCTCATGGAGTGGTAATACGGCTCCAAGTCTGTTGTGCTAACCTGCACGCGTGCACACACACACACACACACACACACACACACAACACACAAGATAAGATCCTTTCCATCTCTGACTCCATTTTCTGGAAAGGGCAGTGATTAACCTGGAGCTAACTGCAGAATCTTAGTCACTGTCAGCCCCTGGCCAACAGGGCTGTCAGGACCAGCCTGACTCACCGTGGAACTTCGAGTGTCACGGTCTCCAGTCCACTGGCTCTCCTCATAGTCATTCCTGACTCGGTCCTCCTCCGACCTTCCAGGATGGAGCATGGAGAGCAGTTGAGTGCTGAGCCTCTGTCATTGGTCACTCCTAAACCTCTTCCTTCAAAGCCTTCTTCATAGAAAAATAATCCCACTTACCCTGTCTTTTCGGAGATGCCTGAGGGAGACAGAGAAATGGGTCATAGACCCCTCCCTCATTGGAGGCCACTTGGCCATAAGGAGTCACCTCAGGCTCCCTACCACCATCGGGTCTCAGGGAGTTGAAATACCTCTCCGAGTGTTTTGTGCTCACCTGCACGCGCGCACACACACACACACACACACACACACACACACACAACACACAAGATAAGATCCTTTCCATCTCTGACTCCATTTTCTGGAAAGGGCAGTGATTAACCTGGAGCTAACTGCAGAATCTTAGTCACTGTCAGCCCCTGGCCAACAGGGCTGTCAGGACCAGCCTGACTCACCGTGGAACTTCGAGTGTCACGGTCTCCAGTCCACTGGCTCTCCTCATAGTCATTCCTGACTCGGTCCTCCTCCGACCTTCCAGGATGGAGCATGGAGAGCAGTTGAGTGCTGAGCCTCTGTCATTGGTCACTCCTAAACCTCTTCCTTCAAAGCCTTCTTCATAGAAAAATAATCCCACTTACCCTGTCTTTTCGGAGATGCCTGAGGGAGACAGAGAAATGGGTCATAGACCCCTCCCTCATTGGAGGCCACTTGGCCATAAGGAGTCACCTCAGGCTCCCTACCACCATCGGGTCTCCATCCTGGAGGGGTAGGGTATGAGATCTCTTCTCACCTTCAGCAAGACGTCTCAGTCTCCGCTGCCAGAGGAATCCCCCAACACAGGAAGCATTAGAAAGCAGGAGAAGACCCCCAACAGCACACAGCACTGGCAGCAAGGGTAGCCCCGGGGGACCTAAGGGCAAAAGATACCCCTCAGAAACTAAACTGGCTTCAGGCAGCGAGCAGGCCTCTGTGAGAAAGCCTGTCCCTGACCAAGCAAAGCCCTCCTCTAAGGTCAGAGAAACAGATAACAGGGTCTCCATCCCCATCCCAAGGGTAGGCAGGTGGCTCCTTTCTCTCTCTCTCTTTTCTTTTACTTTCTTTTTTTTTTTATTATTATTATAAATTTTTTTTTCTTT